CTCTTCCCCCTCTGTAGAAAGGGAAGAATGAAGTGCAGTTGCTCTCCATTTACAAAATGTGATGAGATTCTTGCCTGCTCCCCGAACACTATAAGCATTATTTGCACTATATGCAAATAAATAGCTGGGTGCTGCAGCCCACGCCTATAATCCAATCTACTCAGCAGACTGAGGCAAGAGAGTTACATGTTCTAGGCCAGCCTGGGTAATTTAGTGAGACACTGTCTGAAAGTAATAATTCTGAAAGGGCTGGGGATGTAGCTCAGTGGTGGAGCACTTGCCTTAGCATGCATGAGGCCCTGGGTTCAGTCCTCAGCGCACCCCTCCAAAAAAGAAATAAAAAACAATAGCAACAAGAAAAATTTGACCTTCTGTTTACCAAACACATCAAATAGAGTGAGAGTTTATTTCTGAATTCTGTTTTGTTTCACTGTTGTTTCCTTACCTTTACAACCATACCTCACGTGCACACACACACACACACACACACACACACTCCAAACTACAGTTTTATTGTAGCTCTGTTTTTGGTAGTGGAGGCCGTGGTGCTGGGGACTGAGCCCAAGTTCTCACCTGTGCCGTGCAAGTACTCTCCCAGCGAGCTGCACCCCACCCTTCCTAGAGTCCTCCGTATCTGGCAGTGTAGTCCTTTAGTTTTGTGATTCTTCTTCAAGATAGATTTTGCTGGAATTTCCATATGAATTTGAATCAGCTTGCTAATTTCTTCAAAACACCTGCAGGGAATTAGGGAGGATTATGTAGAAGATGACTGACATCTCTATAGCACTAAGTCATCCAACGGAGGAACAAGCTCCATCCCACGTTTATGAAGGCCGGCTTCAGTTTTGCTCAGCAGTTTTGTAACTTTCAATGCAGTAGTGCTGTACACCTTAACAAATTTATTCCTAGGTATTTGTTCATTGTGATGCTATTGAGAGTGGTATTAGTACTTACATTCAGTTTTGTATTTATTTTGTATTTGGACCTTGAGTCCATCAACCTTGCTAAGGTCAGCTAGCATCCTGATTTTTCCTGGGAGTCTCTTACATTATCTAGGCAAACAGTTTGCAGTCCCTGAGTGAGGACAACACAGTGGATACTGTGGCACAACCACTAGAATGACTCTCTCTACGAGAAGCATTTCTTCCTTGTGTCGCTGGGGGTGACAGCAGCTGAGGACTTGCAGTGCTTTTCCCTCTGGCTGCTGCCCCCAGATACTACTCTCCACTTGCCAGGGAGGCTCCTAACCAATAACCAGCTGATGAGGGATAAAGACTCCATCTTTCAGCCGGGCATGGTGGCATGTGATCCACCATGGGATCCTAGCACTCAGGAGGCTGAGGCAGAAGGATCGCCAGGAGTTCAAAGACGGCATGAACGATGTAGTGAGACCTTGTCTCAAAAAAAAAAAAAAAAGACCATTTTGCACGACAGGACCCCTTGCAAAATCTGTTGTAACCAAAGTACAGCCCAACTCCTTCCTCTGCCCAAATCTGCTTTCTTCATTCCCCTCTCGTGACTGATCTGGGGAAATAAACTTGCTGATGAAAATGCAGATCTGGGAGTCTGCTTGCTCTGTGACAATGGCACCAGCATTGGTCCAAGAAAGCAGAGGCTAAACTGCACCTTTGGAGCTGACTCAGCAAGTGATCAGCTGAAGAAGAGGAGCTTGTCTCTGTGGGCAGGAGCAGCATGGAGAGCGCTGGCGCAGCTAGCATGCAAGTGGGAGCTCCGCGCTTAGGGAGAACCGGCAGATCCTTGTGCACACATCCAGGCAGGTGGGTGTTCTGTGAAATGTTTGAGAAGAGCAAGGGCAATGTGATATATCTAAAGATAACAGAGTTGGACAGCTTTTTATTGGGGTAGTTGGTTCTTTGAAGAAAGATAATTACATTCTGAAAGTATGTAGTTAACTGATCTGTTAGTTTATCGTTGCTGTGGCAAAATACATGAGGAAATCGACTTAAAAGGAAGAAAGGTTTATTTGAGCTCACGGTTTCAAGCCATTGATGGTTGGTGCCACATTTGCCTGCACTGTGGTTCTGCGGTGAGGTCAAACCTCATGGTAGGGAGTGCAGGATGGAGCAAAGCTGTCTGTCTCGTAGCAGCTGGGAAGCAGAGAGGTCAAGAAAAGGCCAGGTCCCAACATCCCCTTCAAGGACGCACACAGCTTCCTTCTGTGAGGCCCCGTTTCTGAAAGGATCTGCCCCCTCCCATTGGCTCCATAGGCTGGAGGTCGAGCCTTTAACATAGGATCCTTTGGGGGCCACTTCTAAAGCATGGCAGGTGCTGAGCGTGAAAGTCTGAAGGTCTCCTGGAAGGATACAAACATGTTCAACTTCTGGAGCCAGTGAGCAGCAAAAGCTGTGGAGACCGAGTCCGAGGTTTCAGGAACTGCAGCAGGGAAGGGTGAACCTTCAGGCATCCTCAGTCTGGTACATGAGGGTCAGGGCACTGTTTGGGAAGGACTGGGTCTTTGAAACATGGGATGGCGATAGCATGATTGATGTCCTCAAAAAGTTTGAATAGCAAATGCTCCTGGAGCCTGAAAAGTGGTCCATTCCTTCCCGTTCAGTGCTAGTGTTTCTTGTTTGAAGATGGGCCGAGTCTTCTACTTTGCAAGATAGGATGTGGGCCCTGAGAACATGCCCCGGTACTTCCCTCCGGGCCACCACGCTGATAACTAGGATTAAATAAGATGACGGTCCAACTGGCAAAGTGTTGGAGCTGCTGAGGGAGGGAAGTCTATACCCAGGAGAAGCTGCAGGCACAGCTAAAGTTTGCCTGTGGAAGCCAGGAGAGTGTGCATGGATACATCCTGAGGCGCTGAACCAAGGAATCCAGAACCTAGAGTTGCCTAAGGGCAAGTTTGCCAGTACTGGAATAACTTTCAGAGGATTCGGGAAAGGGTCCCTGAAGGTGGCACTGAAAAGCCCCTGGGATGGGTCCTGGGAAACTTGAAGTGACATTCACACTAAGAAGAGCAGAAATCCCAGAGAGCTATGATAGGTAGACGAAGAAGGGGCCCAGGGCTCAGACAAGCAGTCCTGCTGCTGTGTCCAGGGCCAGGACCCGAGGACATACTGCTAAGCAGGGCAGAAAGAAGTGCGGTGGAGTGTGGTGCCCGCGTCCCTGAGCGCTCAGTGGCGTTGAACTGCAGGCGCGGGGCTGTGGTTTAGATCTAGTGTCCCCGCACGTCTCATGTGTTGGGAGGGTGCCGGGAAGCGCGGGTCCGAGGCCGGTCGCTCTGGTCCTTGCTCCGCCTTCTCCTCTGTGTTTCTTGGCTGCTGTGGGTTGAGCAGCTGTTCCTCCTCCAGATCCCTCCGCCATCCCGTTTCTGCCCTGGAACCGGGGACCCAGCTGACAGTGGACTGAAACAAACAAACCTGTCCTTTAAGCTGCAGGAGTGGCGTATTTTGTCCCAGCAACAGGAAAGTAGCTAAGACACATGGGTTGAGGATAGAAAATACAAAACTAAGGCTTCTGGGGCCGGAGATATAGCTCAGTGGCATAAGTGCTTGCCTGGCAAGCCTGAGGTCGTGAGTTCAATTCCCAGTACAAAAAACAAAACAAACAAAAAAAACTAAGGCTTCTGTTACAAAAACAAAAAAGACAGGCCCCCCCAAACGGCTGAAGCCGGGTGGCAGCGGGCGAACGCACTAGTCCCGGTGAGCAGTCAGCGACTCTAGTCGTGAGGGACCGGCCACAGAAAGCTGCGGAGGCAGCTTTGGATGCCACCTCCCTGAGGACCAGAGAGATGGTGTAAGATACGTCCCAACAGTCCCGGTCCCCGTCTCAAAGGCTTCATGCCCTCTTCTGGCCTAGTGACCGGCCTCCAGTGCACATAAGGCAGAAAAAATAGATCAGGAAAGACCAGACACCACATTTTTCCTGTCATCTTATAAGAACACTCCAGCAGCCTCGGGTAGGGGCCCAGCCTGAAAAACAAGACCTCTCGCCACCACTTGCATGCAAGCTTGGGAGGCTATTCCACCTCAATAAGGATCTCGTGAGAAAACTTCCCCTAGAGCCACCAGCTGACTGCTCCCAAAGGCCCTGCCCGCAGGGGTCAGCGCACCGTGCGCAGCTGCTGCGCTCTGAGGCAGTTTTTGAGGCAGCAGGAGGAGGAGGAGGCTCCCACTCCCCTTTCAAATGAGGAGCATCCTGCGGGTCCCATGCTGCCCTTGCTCTGTCGTGATTATCACTTACCTTTTCTCACCTTGCGGAAGACAGACTGCGTCGCCCCATCCAAAAAACGCTCATGCCTTAATCCTAGGACCTGTGACTATGGCAAAGGGAACTTTCTGGGTATTGCTAAGGCTACACGCCTCAAAATCGGGGGACTATCCTGCATTATGTGGGGACGGGGGAGGAATCTAGCTACCTGAGCCTTCCCTTTCTCTCCCTACCCACCCCGTCTTGGTTACTTTTCTCTCGTTGCTGAGACAAAATATCCAACGCCCAAAATGAAGGAAGGAAAGGTTTATTCAGCTCGCAGTTTGTGGAGGTTTCAGTCCATACTTGGCTGGCTCCGAGGCAGAAGGCAGCAAAGCAACAAGAGCAAAGGGGGAATGGCAGCCGAACAGCAATGCAGCCAGAGCAAAAAGGGAGGAATCGTGACAAGCAGCCTCTTTCCCTCCCTTACATTGTAAACAGGCTACCCCCACCTAAGGGGCGTGGAGCTGTCACATAATCTCCATGCCCTCCTCTTCCACAGGATCAGGATGTATACAAAGTAAGCACCCTGGCTTCCTGCTGAGTCACTTAGCCAAACCTCTAGACTCCCCAAGTTGACACAATGTTTCAACCATAACACCCCCCTTCAGGATTGAGGATTGAACCCAGGGTCTTCATGCTGGGCTACATCCCTAGTCCTTTTTGTTTTTTCATTTTTTTTTTTTTTTTTAATGAGATAGGGTCTCACTAAGTTGTTAAATTGTCCAGGCTGGGCTAGAACTTGCAGTCCCCCTGCCTCAGCCTCCTAGAGTGCTGGGGTTGATTACAGGTGTGTGCCACCATGCTGGACTTTGTGAACCCTTAAAAGCAGACAATGTTCCCCTGCCAGGAGCAGAAGGAAGGAAGCCTGAGAGACTCAAACTGTGAGCAGGATTTCACGGGCTGCTGCTGGCTTGGAGGGATGCAGGCAGCAGGCAAGCAGGAAGTTCAAATTGTAGCTGAGAAGTGCTTAATTCAGGACAGCTCCTGAGCCAGTCTGGGTGCAGACACTGCCAGAGCTCCAGAGAAGCCCAGGCTGCCCACGCCTTCACCCCGCCCTTGAGGGACCTGGAACAGCGGAACTGGCTGAGGGTGCCCAGACCTCTGACCTGTGGAGGACGAGAAAACAGATGGGTATTGTGTTACTCTGAGAACCCTTATTAAGGCAGCAAGAGAAAACCAGGATGCATCTAGATTGTAACTACTTTGAGGAAACATTGTGACCAAGCTGTCCCTTCATTCCCAGCACTTACTGCACTGTCAGACTGGAAACAGATGTTTTATGACGTTTAAATAAACACAAGGAGAAGATCAGGGGCAAAAGACGATGGGCTTGCGCCCTCTACTCCATTTACAAATTCCATCCCGCACCTTCTTTTTCCCAAGACCTATGTCAGGTGCCATCTCCTCCTCAAGATCGCCCTGGTCCTTCCACGCTGGAAGTATCATCGCCTGAGAGGTCTCGATTCTGCTGGCACCTTTGCTGACTTGTGTATCATGCACGTCTCTTCTATGTCATATTAGTAGTGCTTCCTACCTTTGAGGGCAGGAAGCAGGCGGGGTTTGTTCTTTTTAAACTCTGTCCATTGTCTCTCCACACACTGTATGCTCAAGAACACCTGAGTAATGAAACCTGTACCCCACATCAGGTCAGATATAAAAGGTAACTGTCAGGAGCCTCTGTGTCTTAGGTAGGACACTTTAGCACACAAGCTTGATGGTGACTGTGATACAGATGATAGATGACCAGGAGACACCAAGCTACCCTCTCCGGCCTATCCCTGCTCCTCCTCTTCACACTGAAATTGGAGGTGGTGTCTTTGATTGTGGGGTGTCTGTTCAGATAGTCGTCACTAAAGAAAGCTTTCCATTAAAGGTCCTTCTCCTATTAGCCCATTCACTAACAGAAGGGAAAATAACCTCAGGCTGGATGAAAATGAGACAATAAGGAAGGAAATGAAGCCCCTGAATAAGCCAGAGCATTATTCTAGAGTGTTTTCAAGCAAGAAGTTATGATTTGGATGATAGTCTTAGGCAAATGCTGAATAATGAATCAGGGATGAGACCCATTCAGTCTAAGCATGTAAAAGTCTCGTTCCTACCAAAAAACAACCCCGTAGAAAAGCAGACAAAAGCCTTAGGAACTTCATGAAAGAGGATATTCAGCAAAATGAGGTGTATCCAGATGATTGAATATTGTCTAACAATAAAAAGTAATGAAATACTTATGCCACAACTTCGATGAATCTTGAAAACAATGAGATAAGTGAAAGAAGTCAGTTGCAAAGAGTCTACCTATTACCTGGCTATTCATTGAAAGTTCAGGGTATTGAGGCCAGGCATGGGGTGCACATCTGTAATACAAGCACTCTGGGAGGCTGAGGCATTAAGATCACTGATGTACTGTAGAGCCAATCTTCCACGTGAGCTTTCTCAAGTTGAAACCATACTATTCCTGCTGTGCTGAGTGCTGTGGGTTGTGGCTCCTCCCCTTCACTATACTGCCCACTCACTAGCATTTACCTGGTGATGGCAGCAGCTTCCCAAGTGGTTTTAAGGACATCAGCTTTCCCACACACACCATGGCAAGACATTTGATCATTCTGAAAAGGAAGTCATGACCTCACCTCGCTCTATGTCTCCAGCGTAACTTCTAGGGCACACACAACACATACACACAATCCGGGAGCACACAGAACTCTGGGTAAAATACTGTGTTGTCTCCACCCCTTTTCCATTCACATGCAGCTCAGTGAAGCATAAACAGTTGTGCGCAACATAAACAGTTGTGTGCAAGACTGCGATTACTGTCTTTTTTCTTTCTTCTTTCTCTCTTCTCTCTTCCTTTCTTTCTCTCT